TCGTACGAGTTGGAAGAGGGATGAGGTAGGAATATGGAAGGACGAAAAGAAGGACGAGAATAAGGAGGAGGAGGAGGGGGGAGGAGAACGAGGACGACGACGAAATGTCTGTGTGAGATATTGATTTGGTCGGCCCTCTTTTCTGCGGTAGTCACGTGAAAGAAGTGGAGGAAGCTCGAAGCCGCATTCGTGCACGTATATCGATTCGACCAAGAGTCGAGCCTCTTGAGCACGCGAGTCACGAAAGATATGTACGCTAATCGTGTCTGTCTCGATCTCGGCCCTCGATACGCTCGATAATTTAACTAAATTCTCTCATTCGTCCTTTTTTTTCCTTTTTTTTTTTTTTTACCAAGGAATATACCTCAGCAATTTTTTTTCCATCGAAAATTCTTATCAAATAATCCAAAATATGATTTCAACACAATCACCGATGATTATTATTATTATTATTAGTAGTAGTAGTAGTAGTAGTAGTAGATTTATCTTATTTTTTATTTCAATTTGTTCCTTAATTTAACTTTTATATAATATTATTCAATATTATACAATGACACAATTGTTTTGTTCTATTTTTTGGATATTTCTAATGATTCGTAACTTTGTTTTTTTTTTTCTATTAGGATAAGAACACGTTGCAATATTTTTACACGACGGTTATAATTATCGTTTAACATTAGAACGTCAAGGTCTTATTCTTCTATTGAAAATTTTCCATTTTTCACTTCAATAAGTTTCTATATAGAAATGAACAAAACAAGTATAATAATGGTTACGAATATTTTCTCTGTCAATCTTTGATTAATTCTTCTTGATAGGTTTTTTTTATTTATCAACGTTAACTGATTAAGATCTATGCATACATTTATATATATATATCTACTCGTCTATTCCTTGAATCTGCAATATATTTTTGTATATTTAAAGTTGTATATACGTTCTATAAAATTAATTAAAACGAATAGCATCGGTTTCTCTATGTGTTATAGAGAAATCAGGTTAATTAATATTGTTTATAGGACGAAGTGCTCTTTCCACTCTCTTCAATCGGTTGCGCCAAAAACGAAACGAGATTCTTCCAAAGAGCCAATCCGATAGAAATTCGTGTTCTCTCTTTCTCTCTCTCTCTCTCTCTCTCACTCCCTTTCTCTTTTTTTTTTATTCGGTCTTTTTTATCGGTCTATACACTCTAATACAGTTTCACCAGAATATCGACTTTTTATCTTTTTGCATCTTACTTGATTACTACGAACAAAATTAGAAAATATATAAAACATCAGAAAAAAAAGAAAAGAAACATAAAACATAAAACGTCAAAAAAGTAAAAAGACAAATTGGTAAATTAATTACATTTCTCGATGCATCGATGATAACTAATAAAAAGATCGATTCGTTGGTATTCCGATAGAAACGATCCTCCCCCCCCTCCCCAACCCTTCATCCCACTCACAATTCTCCCTCCCTTTTGTTTTTCTCTCCTTCCCTCTTGCTCTTTTCGTTGTTCTTCTTGGTATCAGAGAAAAAAAACATGTTTTTTATTGGTCGAAATGTTTTTCTCCGCAGGGCAGGCAGGTTACGTTGTCGCACACGACAACAGCGTAATTCGTGTCAGAGTGAAAGAGAGAGAAAGAGAAGTTGCGAGAGAAATTGCTATTCGCTGCTGCCGCTTTTCGTAAGCGGCTTATTTTGCGCTACGTGAAATTGTACTATAGTCTCCTCTTCGTCCAGCACTCACACACATACATATATGCACACACATATGCATACGCATACGCCCATACCTATACACCTATACCGATACCTGTATCTACAATCATCCACCTACGCGTACATACATATAAATATATATATATATATATATATACAGATAGAATGGGTACATTGTATACTAATACATATAAAACAGGTAGTAGTAGGGTATACCTGTGTACATTTTCTTTTACTTTTTAACCGTCTCCGCGTCGCACATAAAGTACACACGGACGATAAACGTGGACGAACGCTACGAGAAGAGCTACATGTTTTCTCTCTCTCTCTTTCTTTCTTTTTATATCTATCTCTCTATCTCTCTATCTCTATCTCTATCTCTATCTCACTTTTTCTCAAAGTGATGTTTATGTTCTGTATAAGTAAACGTAGTTTTTCAACGGTTAACGTATGCTCGAGATCAAGGTGGATGTGTGTTATATCTCTGGCAAGTTCGCGTTATAACGTTTGGTAAAGTAAGAGAGAGAGAGAGAGAGAGAGAGAGAGAGAGAGAGAGAGAGAGAAAGACACACACACGCACACGCACATACACTTCGGGAAGAAGTTACGGTTCCTCCATTTTCCGCCGAAGCTTTTACACAACGCACGACGACGGAAGCGAGAACTCGGCTTAAGGGGTTACTTATGCCTTCCCCCCTTTTTTTTTTTTTTCTTTCCGAGCTTACAAAAACGTACTCTCTATTTACGATTTTTTTTTTCTCGTTCTTCTTCTTCTTTTTCTTCTTTTTATTTTTCTTAACGATACGACAAGGAAACGAAAAGAATTTGTTCTTATTAGAAAAGTTTGATTATTTAAATATCAATTGAATATCGTATTATCTTATTGGTAACATTATATGCTATAAGACACGGTTTTGATCACGTGTTTTATATATTTCCATGTTACATAATTCGTAAGAACAATGATTATCGTAAATAAAGTTGTATTTCATTGGATAAAATTTGTCATTGATAGTTCTTTAAGTATATTATCCTATTTGTATTTCTATTATGATTGATATTAGAGATCTCTTTTAACTTGAGCACGTGTCATCTCTATTATATACTTACAACACCCGTGTCTCATTTTCCAGCTTTAAAGACTTATTGGCCTTTTTAGGAGAGAGTGTGTTGTTGTGTTGGGTTTTGTTGTGGCTGTTCGCAGTGATGATTTGCTTCGTGAAAAAAAAAAAAGGGCACCTCTCTATTTACATCTGGTGTATTTCCTTTTCATAGAAGAAACCTTCTTTTCTACCTACCTTCCTATCTACCTGCCAACCTACCTACCTGTCTTTCCTTCTGATCTATCTTTCTGTGTCTGTCTTTGTCGGTTGGTTCGGATGGTTCTTCGAAAACATTGACTAGCACCTTACCTACTACCTAGATCTACCTGACGACCCAGGTAGAACGATTATCTCGAGGCAAGGTGTGTTCCCTGCGCGTGGCTTAACGCTTCGATGAAAATCGAAAGAGGAAACGGCAATATACAACAAAACACACCCATGTTTTGTGGGCTTGTATAACACTTGTCTACCATTATATCTTTTCTTCGCAAACTTTTTGACTTTTGACCATAATTCTCATAGTAAAACGATCGAAATCTTTTGACCGAAAAATCTTTCAGTCCCTTTTTCACGGATTTCCCTTTGTTCCCCCCGGGGTGCCTCGATAATGATGTTGTTTAGATATTTTGACACAAAAAGATGTTGTAATCGATACCCAAACCGCAGTTTGGGTAAATATAAAAAAGTAAATATAAGAATTAGAATGTTTTGAAAGAAATAATGTAAACCTCACAGGCGCTTCTCTTTCAAAAAACTTTTCGATCCTTTAAAGCCATTCAGTAAAAGTGTGAAATCTTTTGGCCCCAAGATTTTTCTTCGGTCCCTTTCATAGATTATTCTTCCCTACGGGACATTTCTTGAAAGTGATGTTAGGTATACTAAAACCTTTTGCATTTTTAAACGTGAAAAGCTATTATTGTTGTAATCGATCGAGAAATAGAAAATATTTGGTCAATTCTAAAAAGTAATTCAAATTTAATAAAAAAAAAAAAACAAAGTCGATATAACAATTAGAATTATTGAAAAATATATACACGGTACGGATTAATTTTATTATAACTACATCGTTATTTCTAATTTCTAAAACGTTATCTCGAAAAACGAAAATAGTCAGATTTTCCATGTTCACGTATCCCAAGAAACGACATTATCGTTGAACAAACATTGTACGAACTACGAGTACCTCGTTGGAGGGCATATTATCTGTCCTATTAGCACTGGGATTCGCGTGTAGAACTTTGCGAATTTTCTTTCCCTTTATCTCTTGGCAATGGACGATTTAAACGATTGCCGTGTTATAAGGCAAACAACGAAAAAATAACAAAATTGCAAGAAGAAAACGATAAAGGCAGGAAAAAAAGGGGGAAAAAAAAAATTAGAGAAAATGAAACGACGAACGAAGGAGATACAACGAAAATATATATTCAAATACAAAAAAAATAAATTAAATACATACGTGTGTGATATTTAAAGAAAAAAAAAAAATAATAATAATATCTATCTAAACAAATCATTAAACAAATTCAAAATAAAAACATTGTGAAAAATGAAATACATAAAAAGAACAATAAGAAGAAGAAGAAGAGAAGAAGAGAAAAAAACAACAACAAGAGAATAGGATATTTGAATTTTTATTGAAATATGCGATAGATTAAAAAGAAAAAAAAGTAGCGTTATTAACTGTCGTTATTGGATTGTCAGCATTATATATGCTTTTCGCGGCATTTAATTAAGTGTGCTTGCATTGGTAGTCCTAATGCTTTTTTCCTAAACTCTCTCTCTCTCTTTCCCCTACTCTCCTTTTTTTTTATCTACCTGTATAATAAATATACATACATATATATTATACATATATACACATATACTAACATACATACATATATATATATATATCTTATCTTTTCGGCCTAAGCTTTTTGCTCCCTCGAAAGCCCAACTGCCAGTACTTTTCGTATTACTCGGTGCCCTTTGCTTGACCCTTTCGACTAGTAGAATCCTCGATACTCTATTTCTATCTTTCTCTTATCCTTCTATGTCTTTTTCTATTTCGGTGTATTCGTCGAGTCGGACCCTTTAGACCGGTCAACCAACCCCCGAACCCCCAGCCCACCCTGTAGCCCACAGAACAAGAAGCATTTTAAGCCTTTGCATCCGCAGTAATGCGAGTTTTCGCTTTTGGTATGTTTCCAGAACAGCAGAATCCGGAGTCCGAGCGTAAGGGAGGAGCCAGGAACGCGCCGAATAAATGACGTAAATCCGAAGAACGGAAACGCAACGTCATTCGCTAACTCGCAATTCTCATTCCCTCTTCTCTCTCCTCTCCTCACCTCCACCCCTCTCTCTCTCTGTCTCTTTTTCTTTTTATTTTTCTATCCAAATCCCTTCTTCTCTCTATTCTATTCCAGTTTCTCACAGGCCTTCGTCCTTCGACCCGACACGGATCGACCTACGAACCGGACCTTTGCTCTCCCTTCTTCTTCCTCCTCCTCATCTTCTTCTTCTTCATCTTCTTCTTTTTATCCCCACTACTTTGCTTTTTCGCCTTTCACGTGCTTACCGGTTTTTTCTCTTTCCCTCTCTTCTAACACACATATATATATATATATATTTTTGTTTTTTCTTTCTATTCGATATTGAAGTCTCCCTTTTCTATTATAATAAATTTGAACACATGTCGTATATCACGATTGACCTCTCTCACTCGCTCGCTCGATCCTCCTATCGAGAGCACGTCTCGCGTCTTTAAAGTTATTTCTTTTCTAATTGATTTTTCTCTCTCTCTCTCTCTCTCTCTCTCTTTTTTTCTCTCTTCTTTTTTTTTTTTTAAAAAAAAAAAAAAAAAAAAAAAAACTTTCAATTCCTCCTGACCGACCTTCCTTTCCAGTAGACTCGACACGAGACACGCGTTGGTTTGAGACCGGCTTGAAGGACACCACCAGCGGCTTTTTGAGACACGTATTACATACAATACATGCTACTACTACTACTACTACTACATCATCAACAAAAGCAGCAGAAGTAGAAGTAAAAGCAGAAGAAGCAGCAGAAACAACAGCAGCAGTAGAAGTATTACCAATAGTAGTCTGTATAAAAAGCAACGTTTGCGGCTACAAAACACCAATAACAACAACAAGAACAAGAACACAATCATCGTCATCGTCCCTGTTATCTTTGTCGAGACGTTTAGAGAAGAGTTTCGAAGGCTTCCAAAAAAAGCTTTGCTCGCACGAAAGAAGAAGAGTTACGGAGTCGAGAGTAGAGAAGGAGGGTTTAAGGAAAGGAAAAGGAGAGAAAGATTTGCGGAGTTGTGTTTTATTCGCTGAATTTTCGAGAGAGAGAGGAAAAGGTCTTTTTTTTTTTAAATTAATCGAGTGATCAGCTATAGCTCTATCCTCCTTTCTTCATCTTTGTCTTCTTCTATTACTACTACTACTATTTCTTCTATTTCTTCGGACACAAGTCGAGATCTTCCGTGAATATCAACTGCATCGAACAACAACAACAACAACAAGAGTAAAAGTTAATTGCAGTTGCACGTAAAAGTAGTAGTTATACAATAAAAAAAAAAATAAAACAGTGAAGACACGCGCACGCACACGTGTCCCTGGCGCTTCCTATAAATTATATATAATAATCAGAAGCGATTAAGAAAGAAATTTCATTTAAAAGAGATTAACAGTAACGTGAACAACGATACAGTTACTACGCGAAAAAAATTATACGAAAACGAAGAAGTTGTTGTCCGATAATTGGACGAAAGAAAGCTTTATCTTTCTCTCTCTCTCTCTCTTTCTCTCTCTCTCTCTCTCTCTCCCTCTTTCTCTCTCTCTCTCTCTCTTTCTCTCTTTCTCTCTCCTCTCTCTTTCTCTCTTTCACTCCACCTTACTTCTCGCGTTGAACGTATTACACCCAATTATCATAAAGTTCTCGGCCTAGTGTCTCTCTTTGACCGCAACGAAAATCTTTTTTAAGCAGCAAACAGCTTTAAAAGCATAAAGCAAAAGCCAGAAGCAGTAGCCGCTAATAAAACGTTAACGCAACAGTCCCAGTTAGGTACTGTTTATTACGACTGATTAATTAACAATCCACACCTGATCGTCGATAAAAAGGAGAGCTAAGAAAAAGAAGAAAAAAAAAGAAGAGGGGACGGACGATCCTCCAACAATATTGTCCTTCGTGTTTGTTAACGCGAATAAAATTTATTTCTGTTCCTTCGTGGATTTATAATATTTCGCGATTATATAAGAAAAAAAAAAAAAATTCAAATTGAAATCATAATACACATATAAACGCGTCCAGATATACACGAGTGAATCACACATTTGTGGTTGGATTATTAAAATAATACAAGGAAGATACGAAAAGAGAGAGAAGGCCGAAAGATCCAAAGTTTTTCGTTCGTCGATAATTCCTACGAGGAGAGATAGAAAGAAAAGAAAAGAAAGAAAGAAAATAAATAAGAAAAGAGGAAAAAAAAGGTACGAAGACTCGTATCCCTTAAGGTATACGCAACGACCCGCGGCAAACCTACTGTTCAACGATTTACGTTTAACGAGGTCCGAGATAAAGGAGCGTGATTGGGCTCTCTTGATATTTTTCTAACGTGAATTATCCGTGCAGCGTGAACATAGCTTATGATAAATAATTGTTCGTTTTCTTTTCTTTTATTTGATTTTCATTTTATTCGTTTCGTCGATTAAAAAAAGGCCTCGATTCAACGAAATCCGTATTATAGGGTGCCGCGTGGTCGTCCGTAGCTTTTCAGATCAATTTTTTTAATTAAATATTATTCGATATATACGAAACGAAAGAGGGGTGTTCATCAATCCTATCGATAATAGATCGGTCCTACGCGAGTGAAAGCTAAGAAGAAAAGGAAGGAAGGAATCAACATTAACAACAACAACCAATTGAGACGTCTACTACTACTTGTTCTTCGTTGATCTAGCCAAGAATTACTACTACTACTACTACTATTAGTTCTTCTTATTCTTATTCGTCTTCTCTTTCTCGTTCGAAACAACGAGAGACAGATAAAGAAAAAAACAGAGAGAAAGAGAAAGAAAGAAATAGATAGATAGAAAAGTGCATTAAAAAGAAAGAAGGATAGTTAAAA